GCCCTCCCAGAACCGTGGAAAAAAGTCTTGAGTGAGAACTCTGAAACTTAAGCATCATCTGGTTCACTAAATCTGCCTTTATTGGTAACCTTAACTTTCTTTGTGAAATGTGAGAAAAGATGCACAGATACTAAGAGATGAACAGCACTGATGAGCCTAAGCAGAATAGTGAGGATTCCTCACTAAGGGCCTAGAGTTTAACCACCTAGAAGTAGGAATAAAGATTGAGGGTTTTAAAGATAAATACAACTAAATAAGTAGAGAAAAAATAACTTGGAGTATTGGTAAACTCCTCTATGTAGAAAATCCTAAAGAATACACACACACACACCCCCACACACATACACACAAATACTAGAACTAATAAAAGGTTCATTAAGGTCACAGGATACAAGATCCATACACAAAAACCAATTTTATTAATATTTCTGTGCATTAGCAATGACCAATTCTCAAAATAAAATTATGCAATCCAATTCATAATAACATATTATTCTTTTTAGAATAATAGTTAGAAATACATTTAATACAAGTACAAGAAAACAAAACAAAACATAGAAAGACATACCATGTTCATGAACTGAAAGATTCAATACTTTCAAGGTGGCAGTTCTTCCCAAATTGATCTACATAGTCAATGCTGTACCTATCAAAATCCCAGCAGAATATTTTGCTATAATTGACAAGCTGATCCTAAAATTCATATGAAAATGCAAGGGACCCAGAATAGCCCAAACAAAACAAAGAAGAAAGTTGAAGTACTTACATTTCTTGATTTCAAAATTTACTAAAAACTACAGTATTCAAGAGAGTGTGGTATTGACATAAGAAAAGACATATAGATTAATGGAATAGAATTGAGTATCCAGAAATCATCCTTTACATTAATAATGAATTGATTTTAGGTGAAGGTGCCAAGGCAATTCAATAGGGAAAAAACAGTCTTTTCAACAAATGGTGTTGGAACAATTGAAAAGAAACGAAGTTAGATCTTTACCTTACATCATACACAAAAGTTAAGTCAAATATATCATAGATCTAAATATAAAAGCTAAAATTATAAAAACTTCTAGCAGAAACTGCAGGAGAAAATTTTGTGACATTGGCTTAAGCAAAGTTCTTAGATACATCACTATAAGCACAATCCCACAAAAGCAAACAGATAAATTCTATTTCCAAAAATAACAACTTTTGCCTTCAAAAGACACCATTAAGAAAATTAAACAATAATCCACAGACTTGGAGAAAATATCTGCAAATCATATTTAATATAAAGGACTTATACCCAGAATATATAAGGAACTCTTACCATCCCATTATAAGAAAACAAACCAATTAAATGGGCAAAAAATTTAAATAGATATTTCACCAAATAAGATATACAAATGGTTAATAAGTGTATGAAAAGATGCTCAACATCATTAGTCATTTGGGAAACGCAAATCAAAGCCACAATGAGATACTATTTCACATCCACTAGAGCAATTAAAATAAAATAAGACAGACAATAATAAAGGTTGATGAGAACAAGGAGAAACTAGAATCCTCATCCATGGTAAGAATGTAAAATGGTGTTGCCACTTTGGAAAACAGTCTAGCAGTTTCTTAAAAAGTTAAACATAGAGTAACCATATGACGCAGTAATTCTACACTTAGGTATCTACCCGAAAGAAATGAAAACATATGCCCACACTAAGACTTGTATATGAATGTTTATAGCAGCATTATTCATAAGCACCAACAAGTAGAAATAATCAAAATGTCTATCAACTGGTACATGGATTTAAAAATGTCGTTTATCCATATATATACTATTAAGCAATAAAAAGGAACAAAGTACTAATAAATGCCACAAATAGATGAATCTCAAAAACAGAATTAGTAAAAGAATCCAGATGTAAACACTACATATTGTATGATCCTATATATCTGAAATGTCCAGAAAAATGCAAATCTATAGAAACAGAAAGATTAGTAGTTGCCTAGAACTGGGAATGAGAACAGAGATTGATTGAAAATGGTATGAGGGTCTTTTTCGAGTGACTCAAATGTTCTAATATTAGATGTGGTAAAGGTCGCAAAACTCTGTAGGTTTATTAAAAGTCATTAAATTGTCCACTTAATATAAGTGAATTTTGTGGTATATAAATTATAGCTCAATGAAGCTGTTTTTAAAAAGACGTAGGGTAATAAACTATGGGATCAAGGTTAGTAACAAAGTAAAGCCAGGATATAATTGAGAAAATGGGAAAAAATACTGACAGTCTTAATGAGCCTGATGAATTGAAGTGAAAGTGAGAGAGCTGGGAGGAGAGATTTTTGGAGCTAGCATTGAAAATTTCCGAGATGACATGGTCTAGATTTACAAATAAAAATTAAAGGATAATTACTTTATACTTCAAATAATTTATGAAAAATTCACACTAGGAATCCTCTAAAAGTAAACACTGCTGGAATATTTCAAATATGGCCTGATTTGTAATATTGGACTTACATATAACTTTATGTGAAGTGAAGTATAACTATGTTCCATACTGGTTTTTAATATCTATTTTATAGGCCTTCTAAAGTTCATTTCCATTTTCCAAAGACACTTTATTCTGATGCATTGAGCCAGCTGAGGCATACCATACCTACTTTTGATCACTCTCTAGCAAGAGACAGGTTGGAAATGATGTCAGGGAAAACACAGAACATGAAGAACATTTTGCTGGAGAATAGGTGATTAAGCCCAATTGTAATTAAACAAATGGGAGAATAATTTTAAAGGAGCAATGTGACCCCAAAACACAGTTCACTGATCTACTGTAAGTTCCTTTTGGGCTCCATAAATAAAGATGATTACATATGAGTAGAAAGCTCGGGCTTCTTTCCCTCACCTCTTTAAAAGAGAAGATTATAACCTCCTTTTCTTTATTCAGAGAAATCACTACATTTTATGTTCTAATAGATTTTTTTTTTTTCCTAAGAGACTGATATCTCACTACGTTGCCCAGGCTGGCCTCAAACTCCTATGCTCAAGTGCTCTGCCTCAGCCTCCTGACTAGCTGGGACTGCAGGTACACACCACCCTGCCTAGTCTAATAGATATTTTTAAAATAATCAATAAACTAGTTTAAAAATCAGCTTTTAGTGATATAAAAAAAATCATTGAACTCTGCAACCTTTGGTTTGATTTCATTTTTACCAATATACCTTTTTCTATGCAATGTATCTACTAGTGAGAGTATAAATAAAACCAGTAATTATTGTTTATCTATCACAAACTTTAATTTGTACTAAGTGTCTAGTTGGATGGTTACTTCCCAAATTGCTTTTAGCATGTACTAATTTTTTTTTTTAAAAATCAGATCCCAGACTCTTAATTTGTGATCTTTTAGCTAAAAATAAACAAAAATCACAGATCTATTGAAAACATGTGAACAAAATAAGCAGTTAAAAGTATAATTCAAAATGACAAGAAAATTAGAATACAGAATTAAAATAACATTTCAATATGTATGTTTAAGTTTCTTCAAAAATTTAAAATACTGAAAATGACATGTAAAAATGTGAATAATGAGGATTAATTGTATCAGTCCCATAATATTCCGAAGCAGCAGTAATTATTTGATCTACTCCCAGTCTAACCTTTAAAATTTAGTCAATCCTACCATCCACGAGGGTATTGGTGGACAAAACAGATGAGATTTCCTTAGCAGATGTGGGCTGAAGCTACTGTAGAAGCCAAAAATGAATACTGATGGTCCTGATTAATATAGGAGAGTTGGGGTCACCTGGGTGGTATTAGCCTTCTGGTTCAATGCCAGATTTCTAGGAAAGGGGACAGGGATTTATAATGACAAAATGGTCATCCATTTTGTGAGTAGATTTCATTCATTCATTCATTCAAAAATTATTCATTGAGCATCAGTTATACGCAAGACATTTATGAAAGGTAGATGGCCAGTAGGTTATCATGAGATAATGCAAAAAATTAGTAGCCCAATTTTTTTAACAGAAGATTTCTGGTAATGATTAGTAGATTAAAAACAAAAACCTAACATTCAAAATACTCAGCCAGCATAATATTTCAGTCATCCTGAGCCTGTGTCATTTGCCATGTTGATTTAACTTATTTCCCTTTTCTAAGAGCTAAAAGTTACTCAATTCAAAAAGGAATCATTTTTTTCTCATAAACGTTCTCAATATATTTGGTTCCAAGTTTTTTTTTTTTTTGAGACAGGATCTCACTCTGGTGCCTAGGCTAGAGTGTAGTGGCATCATCAGAGCTCACTGCAACCTCAAACTCCTGGGCTCAAGGGATCCTCCTGCCTCAGCCTCCCGAGTAGCTGGGACTACAGGCATGTGCCATCACTCCAGGCTTTTTAAAAAAAATTTTGTAGAGATGGGGTCTTGCTATTGCCCAGGATGGTCTTGAATTCCTGGCCTCAAGTGATCCTCCCACCTCAGCCTTCCTCCCAAAGTGCTGAGATTATAGGCGTGAGCCACCACCCATTTTTAGAAAAGAAAATGTACTTCCTAGTTTCTTTATAACATTGGATTTTTACCTTTAGGTATTATAAACCCTCCAAAGATTATATAAAAGCAGAATTAACATGTTTTACATTGAAGATTTCTAAATTTAGGGGGCTATTACTATCATTTACAAAATTTCCCTATTCTATTACTTTTCATGTCACTAGACTATTAATCCAGGGGTCAAATATATCAAGAACTACTGGTGAAGAGGAAATCAGATTAGCTACTGTGCTTTCATTCTAAATGTCACTACAAAACAAGAATAAGGACAAGGTGTTAATAGAATAAGGTGTTTGCCTGATCTAAATTTTATTAGTAAAACTATTCAGCTAAGAAAATAGCTACAAAAAGAAAAAAGAAAATGTGATGCTGTTTCTGCTTTTCTCAATCACACTGGATATAGAAACCATATTACTAAAATGTTTTTGAATGTTAAAATACAACCTTTATAATTTTCAATTCTTTAAAGATAATCTTACCTGAAGACTTGTGATTGTCTATGTTTAATTTTTAATTCATGTTGCAAATGACTCAATTCTTTTTGTACTCTCTGAAATTCATTTTGTTGACTTTTTAACTGCATGTTTGCATCTTGCATTCTAAAAATATAAACAAACATCCATTACAAGCTTGAATATTCTCTAATTACTATTTTAAAATTAAAATTTATACTTTAAATAAGTAGAAGAAAACTATGCATTTATATATATATATGAATGTATAGAAAAAATACGGAAAGACACATCAAACAGCCATTATCTGTGAGGAGAACAGTGAAAATTAAAGGCAGGGAAAAAAAGTAAAGAATATTGAAAAAAGGCAGAACTTTTACTCTATATTCTTTTTTTTTGTTCACATTTTTATGATAAACATGTATAAACATTAATTACAATGTAACTAAAACATTTATTTTTATTAAAGTAATGCATGTACATAATTTAAAATGTCAAATATTACCATTTTAGGCCATTTTGTGTTGCTATTAACAGAATACTTGAGATTGGGTAATTTATAAAGAAAAAAAGGTTTGGTTTGCTCACAGTTCTCTTGGCTGGAAAGTTCAAGACTGGGCAGCTGCAATGGTGAGGGCCCCATGCTACTTCCATTCATGGTGGAAAGTGGAAGGAGAGCAGGCATGTGCAAAGGGATCACACAGTGAGGGAGGAAGCGAGAGAGAGAAATCAAGGAAGCCAGATTCTTTTTAAATACATGTTCTCACCACAACTAATCCATTCCCACAGGAGTGAGAACCTAACCCCCAGGGAGGGCATTAATCTATTCATGAGGGATCCGCCTCCATGACCCAAACACCTCCCACTAGACCCCACCTCCCAACACTGTCACATTGGGGATCAAATTTCAACGTGAGTTTTGGCAGGGACGAACCACATCCAAACCATTGAAATTACTAAAAAGATTATAAGAACGAATAGTAATCATTTGCTTTTACCCCAATTCCAACTGCCAAAGGTAACTAATTTTAACTTTTTTCTGTTTCTTCTAGTATTTACCTCCATATTACTAAATAATGTGTTTACACTGATATTTCCTAATATTTCATTCTAGATATTATCTAATGGATTACAAGTCAGTTCAGATCTAGATCTGCTACATGTAACTGAGACCTGAATATGATGGCATATATACATAAAATTTCACATAAAACAAATGCGTTGCCAACCAGTCCAATGATGAAACAATAGCTTTAAAATGTCGTCAGGGCCCCAGATCCTTCCGAATTTCTGGTTTACCATCTTCAGTGTGTGTACTTTATTCTCATAGTCCATGGTGGTGGTGGAAGCTCCAACCATTACATCCCTGTTCCAGACCAGCAGCAGCAGGAGAATAATGGCCTACTCCATTCCTTTTAAGTCAGTCTCCTCAAAGTACCCCTGAATACTTCTACCGAACTTAGATACATGGCCACACTCAGCTGCAAGTGAAGCTGGGAGGTGCAGTCCTTTAACTGGGAAGATTAGCCCCCAAACATATTCGTACTTCTGTTACTAAGATAGAAGGGAAAATGAATGTTGGGGCAGGCAGCTAATAAGAACTGACCCTCCTACACATACTTACACACCTCCCCGCTTCTTTCCCTCATCTTTCCAATATAGTTAAATCAATCCTTTTTATTAAATTATATTCAGTATTTACATTTTTCTCCATTATACGTGGTGAGCCAAATACAATGCCATGATTATATTTGTTTTTTTGCAAAACTTTTTGTTGTCTCTGAAATTAACTCCTTTTCTTAGTTTTCTGTGTACCTATAACTGACTATTCTTCCAACCTTAACAAAAGTGTAATTCTCCACTCAATACTTTCAGATATAGCAGATAATCTTCCCAAACTATTTCTTTTCCAGGAGGCAGTCTTCCTATAGCTCTCCATTTCCCTGCTCTAATCTGGTTATGCTCTGGTTTGACTACATGGCTGTCCTTCAGGAATTGGCCTCATCTCTCTTTCATGTCAATTCTCCTATACTCTGGTTCTGAAATTTTCTTCCTACTTGGTTTAGTCTGAGTTAAAATAAGGAATATTCTGTTCATTGGGTGGTATGTTTGAGACTCTCAATGTCTGAAAATGTCATTATTTTATCTCAGAGTGAACCGTTCTGGCTGAATATACAATCACAGATTAAAAATATATTCAGCAGAAAATTAGGGCACTGTTCCACTGTTTTCTAACTTCCAATGTTGCTGCTGAGGAGTCCAGTGATATTCTCATTCTTACTTCTTTGTGTGATACATAGTAGGTTCCCCTTTTGATATGGTTTGGATGTTTGGCCCCTCCAAATCTCATGTTGAAATTTGAGCCCCAGTATTAAATATGCGGCCTGGTGGAAGGTATTTGGATCATGAGGACAGATCCCTCATGAATGGTTTTGTGCCCTCCCCACAATAATGAGTGAGTTCTCACTTTATTAGTTCATGTGAGAGCTGGTTGTTTAAAGAAGCCTGGCACCACCTCCTCCTTCTCTTGCTCTTTCTTTCACCATGTGACCGCCCTGCTCCTCCTTCACCTTCCACCTTGATTAGAAGTTCCTGGAGCCCTTACCAGAAGCAGATGGTGGCACCATGCTTGTACAGTCTGCAGAACTGTGAGCCAAACCTAAACCTCTTTTCTTTATAAATTACCCAGCCTCAGGTATTTCCTTTATAGCAGCAGAAATGGACTAATACACTTTTCTTCTCCACATTTCAGAAGCATTTTCTTAAAGAAAATTTTTCTCTTTTCACCTGAGATTCTTCAATTTGATCACAATGTGTTATCATGTTAGTCTTTTGTCATTCTCTGTGCTGGGCACTTGGTAAGTACTTGCTTTAGAAATTAATGTTCTTTAGTTTCAGAAATTTTCCCCCAGGAAGAATGATTCCTTCCTGTCCATTTCTAGAAAGATGTTTCTTTCTATAACATCTTTCTATTATTTTGATTGTGGGATCTCCTGGACAGATCTTTTGATTGCCTTGTCCTTTCTGTACCATTTTACCACTTTTGACTTGTTGTACTACTTCCATTATCTTCCTTCCTGCCTATTAAATTTTAACTTCTGCTATCATATTCTAACTACCAAGAATTCCTTCTTGCTCTCCAAAAGGTTCTTTTTTATGACCTCTTATTCTTGTTTCATGTATACAATTCATTGAGGATATCAATTATAATATGCTTTTGAAGTTTCTTCACCTTGCTACATTGCTTCTGTTTCATTTTATTTTCCTTTGTTTTGCTTTTTGTCTTTCATATTTGAGGCTTCCCTCAAAAGTCTGGTGATGCTTTGTTGTCTATTCATATTTAAGAATAAAGTATTTAAAGGACAATTAGCGTGGTTTCTACAAGCTAATGATGACAAAGGGAGAAAAGGAGGGGAGACCTTTCTAGATAAAAGAGAACCAAATAGGACATGTGGACCTTGTTTAGAACCTGATTAAAACAAATTGACTGTAAAACAATTTTCTTTAAGAATTGAGGAAATTAGATTATGGACTGGGAATTAGATAACACCAAGGACATATTACTAATTTAGGAATAATAATATTGTGGTTACGTAAAAAAAAGTCACATCACACTGAAGGATAAAATAGCATGCAGGGATAAAATAGGGATAAAACAGCATGCAGACTAGGATTTACATTAAAATATTTCAGCAAAGAAAAAAAGAAACAGATTACACAAACATGATAAAATCTTGATAATTTTAAAATCTGTGTTAGTATTTATTTCACCATTTTCTCCTAAAAAGCTAAAGCATAAGGAACTGAAATGTTGCCTATAAACTTCTGTGTGAGTGGGTGGGGGGTGGATTCTTTAAGGATGGACTTCATTGTGGGGAGGTCTGGTGGGGAACTACCTATGCTGACAGCATAGATCTTTCCTCCCTATCCAGTCATTCTCCCAAGCTCCAGGCTCTTGACAAAGTCCTGGGAAGTAAGGGAAGGTGTCTGGGTTCTGGCAGGGAATGTCACTGTTTCAAAAGTCAATGTTAACTTAATCTCCCTGTTCTCATTCCACCACCTCTTTTCTACCACTCTCCATCCTTAGCCATGCCTAGTGTCACTGAGACCAGACAAGAAACACCCAGTCTTCTGCCAGGGACAGGGAAAGGTAATTACATGCCTTGGGGGAGGTGGGGTGAGAAAGAGGATCTGGAAGCCTAAATATACCTTTCAAAGATTTTAAATGAATCCTCTTATTTTCAGTACCACTTAATACCTTGGCAAGTATTTCTCTTAGCATACTAAGAGAAAAAAGTCAGCCAAATATTGTTTTTAGGAGTCATATCTTTAAAAAAAATTGACAGAGAAATGTAGAAAATAAAAGGTTATGAAAGTATATACCAGACAGATGCTTTAAAAGATGATAAAATATGTTAATATTAATAACTAGCAAATGCATTAAATGGAACAAAGAACATTTAATTTTTATTAAAAGCCCAATCACCAAGAAAAATAACATAGCTGAGAAATATATAAAGAAAAATCTGTTAAAAATAAAATGAGAACAAATTAATAATCATAATGGGAAGTATTAACACTTTTCTCACAGAAATGGAAAAAGTCATAATAACATGAAAAATAGACAAAGATATTGAAGATTTAAATAATAAAATTAACAAGATTGATATATGGATATAATTGGAATCTTATATCTAATAATAATTTTTCCAAAATATATGGTATAATCACAAAAATTGACCGTGTCATTGGCTATGTTGAAATCTTAATATATTCTTAAAAAGAAAAAAGAAGTCATATACCTATATTTATTGCCCACAATAAAATTACATGAAAAATTAAAAACAAAAGGGTAATAAAAAAAAATCTATATACATGGAAATGTAAATATACATCTAATAATCCTTGGGCTAAAGAGGAAGTAAAACTGGAAATGATAAATTATTCAGAAATAAATAACAATGGAAATACTATATATCAAAGTACTAAGAGGAAAATTTATAGCCTTAAATGCATTTATTAAAAAAACAATGAATCGATATTCTGATTGTCATGATCCAAGAGAAAGATACAAATGACAAAAACAATGAATGCTCAGACGCAACAATATCTCAGTAGCAATAAGCATATACCCAATGCCCAGATCT